CTTACAATGCAGCTTCCTAGTGGAGTAGACTTGGGGGAGGGATTGTATAACAATGAAAGAGTTTTTCTATTACCTTTCAAAGAGAAGAACGAACTGAGGGGAGAGAGGTGGGCAGGGAGAAAAGTGCAACAATGAATGAATGGAAATCCAAATATCTGTAAATTTTCATTAAGATGAATAATGAAGTCAAAATTATATCAAAATAGCAAAATTTAACAGAACAGCAAGCAACAAATGCTGGCGAGGTTGTGGAGAAACTGGAACCCTGATTCACTGTTGGTGGGAGTGTAAAATGGTGCAACCCCTGTGGAAAGCAGTATGGCGCTTTCTCAAAAAGTTGCAAATAGAGATACCATTTGACCCAGCAATTCCACTACTGGGAATATACCCTGAAGAGACCATAGCTGACATCCAAGCAGATACATGCACACCCATGTTTATTGCAGCTTTGTTCACAATAGCAAGGAGTTGGAAACAACCTAAGTGCCCATCAACAAACGAATGGCTAGAGAAGCTGTGGTATATTCGCACAATGGAATACTATGCTGCATTAAAAAACAAGGAACTCATGCAATATTATTCAAAATGGTTGACTCTGGAGAACATTATGCTGAGTGAAATATCCCAGTCACAAAAGGACAAATATTACATGATGCCACTGTTGTAGAATGGGACTGTCCTTGGGGTTGGGGAGAGACTGAGTAAGATGGGTTCAATAATGTATACTGCACTGAAACAGAGGAGGGAGAGAACCGTTTAAAAGAGAGATGTAACTGGGTATTTCTGTCATCACAGGAGACTAGAGCGAGGGCTGCATGGTGGAGGGGACCTGGGGGAGGGTTTGTAAAACAATGAAAGAATCTTTTCTTTTACTTTTCCATAATTTTTGGACTCATGTACTTATAACTTGTTAGTCAAATTTGTGTCTTCTAGGTTGCAACACCCCCATGATACATCTTCAAGGATATGAACATGTACAGCCAAGCACAATCAATAAGAGTGCATCTAAATTCCAAAATCAATCTCCATAATAGTCTATGTGTTTCCTACTGCCAAAGGGGCCCTTTAGAGTAGTGAGAGAAGATCTTCACCCTGAAACCCACAGCGTCCCTTTTCAGCAGGAAGTAGCTAAGAGAATACGCCATCCCCTTTTCCTTATGACTCAGGGTGAAGTCTCTCTCAGGGAGGAGTGATAGGGAATGGCAAAGGACACACTGACAAAGAAGATTAATCAGAACTGGCTTTGACAAGCACTGTGGCATTTGGACAAGAACAAACTGGGAGGAGGGTAGAGAGAATAGTGCAACAATGAATGAGTGGAAGCCCAAAATCTCTGTAAATGTTTATGAAAATTAATAAAATATAATTACAGAAAAAAAGATGAATAATAATAATAATAAAATGCAGCTTCCTTTGGGATATAATGATAACCTTGGTCTGGATTAGGCCAAGGAAATTATTGCACTGAGAGTTTAAATTGTTGTATGCTGCTTCTGAGAATTTTAGAGGCATTCATTTACTCCAGAATTATATTTAATATAATGATATGAAGAAATTTACTACATATTTATGATACAAGAAATTTTATAATGTAAAAGACTCTAACTTAGTAATGAGCTGTATTCCCCCCCCCATATTTATTTAACAACTATTTATATCTAGAAGCTCTGGTGGCCTAGTGGCAGGAGACTGAGCTGCAATCTCAAAGGCACGCAGTTCAAGGCCACCAACTGCTCCATAGGAGAAGGATGGACAATCTCCTCCTGTGTGATTAACTGCCTCTGAAAACCTGCTGGAGGGTCAGTTATACGTTGGTTCTGACTCTATGGTACAACACCACCAACAATCTATATCTGAGGTAGCTTTGTGATAAGATACGAGGATTTAATGAAGGGAAACAAACTACAGAAAACAGACTAACAAGTCAGTCAACAAAAAGGGTAATTATTAAGAGAAATTATTATTTAGTAAAATAATTTTCAAATTAAAAGTAACCGGTATTTTTAAAAGGAAGAACTTATATAATCTTGAATATTCTATTATTCAATTCAGCAGTCTCTCAGTTTCTTTCAGTTACAGATTTTTGCTTTATTTTTACCATAGTCCCTGCCACATTCTAGTTTGGTGTCTTTGGCAAATATCTACAATCAATCTCAGCATGTTGTTTGTTTGTTTGTTTGTTTTTTCTCTCTCCACAGATCCAGGAGGAGGCGCTCATGTTCTGGTTTAATCAGGTTATCTATGCTGCCATTACTAATAGACAGAAATGATCTCAAAAAACATCACTGCCATGGAGTCAGAAGTGACTCACAGCTGATCCTCTGTCAGGTTTCCAAGGCTGTAAATCACACAGAATGAGACTGTCCGTCCATCTTAGTACTGGGAACCCGCTGGTGGATTAGAATCAGAGAGGTACAGCCCTTTGGGCTAGCAGTCATCTCCCTGTGGACTCCACCACCAGCGCCACCATCACCAATAGATCAGAAGTGACAGGCTGGATTAAAGTGTGTGCACTTCCTCTAAGGACCTCAGCGTCCTGGCTTTGCTGTCTCTGAGCCCGAACGGACATGTCTCCATTTCCTGATAGATCTTTGGACTTCTAGGGCCCCTAACAGCTGGATCCTACTTAATTCTCAAACAGCCTCGACAGTTATTAAAACTGACTCTTAAAGGAATCAAGTCACCTTCTCAAGATCACATAGTTAGCACGTATCAAAACAGAAAGCAATAGCTCAGGTCCTTTGACTCCAGAGCTGATGCCCTTAAAACCGTTCTCCACTACTTCTCCACAGCCCTGTTGAAAGGTCACCTCTTTGCTGAAGCTTTTCCATTAAAATTTGCCACTGCCATCTTTGAGCTTGCTGGAGGCTTTGTGAATCTTTATTACAATATATGACATTATCCCTTAATTATTTCATTTACCACATTTTCATTACCTCCTGGTGGGAGCTCCCCTTTCCTGTTTTTTGGTAAATACCTGTCTCCTTGGTAACTAGATGAGTGCCTAGGTAAATTCCCAGTCGATGCATCTTAAACACATATTAAAACATGGCCACTAGACTCATCAAGGTTATGAATCTATTTCTCAGTGTCTGACCTTCACATTAAAAACAGTGCAAGTTTAAAAATGATGTTGATAATATGACCATATTTCTAAAACTCCAAAACCTCCCTGACAACAGTTATTTAGAACTCTGAAGCAGAAACCTAGTTAGGGAGTATTTCACTTTTAAGGGACTGTGGTCCCCCTGTTGATAGCCACTCAGTATAACAGAGCTAAAATGGGTCAAATTAATTATCCCCTGTTGTCAAGCATCATAACACAGACCGCATCTTCTTGAACCAGAGCTCTCGCCCTCTAATGGAAATCGTGGTCCAGCCCAGGACTGTGACCTGTGCTCTATCTGGGTTGATAGTGACACTTGTCACTCGTGACACTTAATTGCATTTCCATCCTGTAGAAACTCAGGCAGACTATTTAGCTGCTGCCTGACATTTACCTTACACAGTACATTATGGTTTTGTGTAAATACAAGTCATTCTATCAGGATGGTAATCTAGGCTGGTATATCAGAGCCCTGATGGCACTCACACGCTAGGATATTAATCAGAAGGTTGACAATTCAAACCCATCAGCTGCTCTGCTCTGCAGGAGAAAGACGTGGCAGTCGGCCACGGTAAAGATCTGCAGTCTTGGAAAGTCCATGAGGCACTTCTCCTCTATCTTACAGAATCACTATGAATTGGAATCAACTCATTGGCAGCAGGATCTTTTTTTTAAATGCTATTATTACATTTTTAAATTATTATTACATGTCCATGGTGGACAGTGTTTTGTGGCGTTCCTCAATTAAAATAAACTTGGAAGCAAGAGTGGCATCCACTTGTGAATTAGCTTGTCTCCAGAAACTCTATCAATCTGGAGAAAGGATGAAAGTCATACAAGTGTTCAGGTCTTATGTTCATTGGGTCGCTATGAGTCACCTACGACTTGATGGTACTTAACAACAGCAGCACAGAGAGAGATCAGCTGGCCTAGTAAACAGAAAGTGATGCTACCAAGCCAAAGGTGGGTGATTTTAATCCGTGTCCTTCAGGCCTGTTTTTAATTGTTTTTGGTCAAACATTCTTTTAGGTGGTATAACACTGGTCTGTCCATTTGCTGTACTGAGGTAACTTGTGGTTGCTGTGAAGCTGAACACTGTGACACTGATGTGTCAAATGTGAGAATGGTTAACCATGGTGGACAGTGTTTGGTGCACCTCCCCGATTAAAACACACTTGGAAGCAGGAGTGGCATCCATTTCTGAAATAGCTTACCTCCGGAAACTATGAATCTGGAGAAACGATGAAAGTTATACAAGTGTTCATGTCTTTCATTCATAGGATCGCTATGCGTCACCTACTCGACGGCACTTAACAACAACAACAACAACAGTATTATTACATGTGACGTATCTGAAGCTGTCTTCCTAGGTAGGTGCAAGTGAAGATGTACATATAAGGTGAGGGTCTCAGGTAGAAATAATGCTCTGGAAAGTTCTCACACAGGAGCTGCACCAATATCTTAGAAAGAAATACCCAACATTGTGGTTTTCTTCCCTAGAAAATACCCTAGTACAACAGTTGTTGTTGTTAGAGGCTAACAAGTTAGAACTGACCCATAGCTGACCCTCCAGCATGTTTTCAGAGGCAGGAAATCACATGGGAGGAGACTGCTCATCTTTCTGCCACAGAGCAACTGGTGTGTTTGAACGTCATGCCTTTGGGTTAGCAGTACAATTCCTTTCCACTAAGCCACTGAGGCTCCCTAGATGCTCATTAAAGACTTCTCCATCCACTTGCACCGAGATGAAGAAAGGAAACACAGACCTTCTCATTTCATAGATTCAAGAGATATCTTTCCATCTATTATCCTGCCTTGACCGTAAGTAGGCAGCAAATTTTAGTAGTTGGCACTTAGTGCTTCTCAGTTCTCATGCTTCCATTAACCCACTTACCTCCCCGGAGAAGGCCTGTCCATTGAGGAGGTGCTCCGAACCTTGGCTGTCCTCGCTCCCAAAGTGTAGCCGGATCTCTTCCAGCCGGTGGCTGTATGTCATGGGACCTCCTGATATGTTGACTAAGTGCTCCTTGTCCAGGCGGAGGGACACATGTCTTCCAGTGTTGTACATCGTCCCACTGACCTGCAAGGAAAAGAAGCAAGAGATCAATGGAGGTTCATTCCTTCCACTTCTCACTAAACCAGACCCAGCTTGATGCTTGGACCAGTGTCATTTGCTTTCTGTTGGTGCGAGAGACAAAGAGGGATAGATATCAGGCTAATACACATGTGATATAAGAAGTAAATAGTCACCTGGCCAGAGCATCCTCCCTTCACCTTCTATGAGACATACATCGTACTGTTATTTAGGAATTTTAGGTAGGAACCCATAACAGACTTTTCGCAAACGGTAAATAGTATTTACACATGATATTTTTTATAGATTAACCTGCCTCTTTGACTATCAACGGTTAAAGCACAGAGAAGCCAAAAAAGATCAGGTTTTTAGGTGTGAGAAATGAAGAAAACACGTACCAAGTATGATTTGCTAAGAAGGCCAGATAAAGAAATAAGGAACGCAAAATGGGTGAGTGGGAGCAAACCCTAACAAGTGACCCAAAGTCCAGCTCTAAGCGTCTGGCCCAGTGCGCCATACTGAGGACCCTCTTCCACGCCGGCAACCAGACACTACACAAAATAAGCCCCCATCACAGCCTTTGGCCCCATGTGGCCAAGTTTTCCATTTCACAGATCCTGAAC